TAGACGACTTATTTGTTGAAAGGAAGAATGTTGGAGGAGGGGGCGGGGTTAGGGGAGGTAAGGTGGAGGAGAAGGAACGCGACTGGGAGGAGGTGGAGGAGGAGGAGGAGGAGGAGGAGAGTGGGAGGGACAAGACGCGGAGGAGGGAGGAGGAGAAGGTGGAGTTGGACATGAAGCAACAGGAGGGCCAGAGTAAACCTAGGATGATTCAACGGTGCCGGAGTACACCCTGCCGTTCAAAGCCCCGTCCTCATAGGTCTCTACAGTATTCGCAATCATCAATGGAGGGGCCATCTTGAAAGGCGAGCGCCCCATAGGCCTGCGATTCATGGCGAGAGCCCCGCCCTGAAAAAGAACAGATTTCTATCTACGAAACACTTAGAAGTATCATACACTTCCAGGAAGTGTTCAGCCGGAGCCTCGTTGAACCGGTTTTCATCCGTGAGGTTGTTGTAAAGTCGTTTATTTTTTGGCCGTAGTAGGTGGACAGGTCGGAAGCCAGAGCTCAAGTTCCCCAAACAGGTCTGGCGCTAAGGCTTTTTCCTTGCGTTGTTCAATGAGTGTTTTGTGCTGCAGTGTTTTCGCCTAGTGGGCACCCGCAGGTGCCTCGTGGGCGTCAGGTGCGTTGATTGTAGTCTCCGGCTGCGCACGTAGATTGTACGACATAATTTGTTTGCACCATGTAGATTGCACTATACAGTTTGCGACTCACATGTTGCACGGCGTAGGTTGCAGCACAAGCATTGCACTTCAGATGGTATGACTATGTTTATGTATACACGTGAATACTCATGTATGGGTACATGTACACATCATGCGCGTATTATGCAAATATTCCATGAGAAGAAGTAGGTTCGATTACCATGCCGGAGCTGAAAGTATGCTTCCCCTCCACATATGTTGTTCTTCGTATCTAGTAAGTATCCACGATCGTTTCTTTACATATCAGGTAATAACATGCCGTTGACGTGGTATCGTCCCTCCCACCATCCTGTCCAATACTTCAGCGGCGCACACGCGTCCATCTAACAAGAGCAGTTCGTCAGAATCCCTAGCGAGACGCGTTCGGGCGGCCCCGCGCGTGCATATCAAAATCATTCCGAATCGATATGTTGTACCATAATCTTTGTTTGTTAGCGAAAAGCTATTAGATTTGTGCGCGCGCACTCGCTGAGGCCATACGAAAGCCACAGGTTGTTCCATCACCACCGCCGTCATCATCTCCACCGCCGTCATCGACATCACTATCGCACTCGTCGTTGCTGTCACCCTCGGCACACTCGTGATCATCATCGCCAGCATCATCATTGCCGCCGTCATCACCGTCACCTGCATCACCATCACCCTCGCTGCCATCGTCCCCATCGTCGTCACCAACATCAGCGTCGTCATCTTGTCGTCGTTGCCGTCGCCCGTGTCGTCGGAGCCACCGCCATCAGTGTTGGCACTCGGCTGCCCGAACCATGGACCTGCATGAGAGGGGCGCCCGCGTCACCACGCGAGGCGAATTCTGCCAACCAGTTGCCGGCAGGTGGACGAGATAGTTCCACGAGTTTTGGGGTTGTCACGCGCGGACGCCAGCAAGGTGAATTGTACGCCATAGATCTCTTACCCTGGCGAGATCGAAACAAGATAGTACCCCGCCGCCGAGGCGGGGGTTGACAGAACCCCTGCACGTTTCGCGTATTATGTTTATTTAATCGCTTCGCTCATTCCGCCGGCCCTGGAGCGCTATTTGGGGCCTCTTGGGGTCTTCTTGGGGTCTTCTTGGGGGCTTCTTGGGAGCGTCTTGGGGCTCCTTCGCGGCGTATTGGGCTCCCCTGGGGCCTCTTGGGGGGCTCTTGGGGGCCCCTTGGGGCGGGAGGGGGGGTAGTCGTTGGCAGCCCCCCCCTCGGAGGCCACGATCCTCGTGAGGGGTGGCGAAAAATAGCCTCCCCCCTGGGGATCGCCCGGAGGTCAGCCGGGCATCGGCCGGGGTGTTTTTCGTCCGGGGCCCCCAGGGGCCGCCCCGCGAGCGAACTAGAAATATTGTTAAGTAGTTACCGGAGATATTAGCACGCCTCTGGCCCGTTGGGCCGGCGAATTATGCAGCTTCGTTCATCCGAAGTTTTGTAAAACATAGTATGCCAGCGTGTTCCAGAATCCCCCCCATCCCTTCCAAACGATAGAATGCGGTGCCCATGCGTTGATCTAAGAGAAAGTTCATTTTAGAATCCCTTCGCCAAAAAACAGGTTATGCGGGTCACATGCGTGCGCCCCTGCGCTCGCATGCCACGCCAACGCATGACCGGCTCGCTCTCAGAAAAAAAATGTTCACCAAGCCACGTTGGTTGTTGACGAAAAGCTACGTGATGTCTGCGCGCGCGGAGTCGCGATAGAGGTATGAGAGAGTCAGCGGCTATTAACCAACTCGGGCGAAGGGAACTATGCACATGCACCGATCCTGGCAAGGCCCATCCTTGACCCAGGATCGGTGCATATGCCTTCCTGGCCAAGGTAGGAGGGCGTATGCACCGATCCTGGGCTCAGGATGGGCCTGGCCAGAATCGGTGTATGTGCATAGTTCTTTTTCCTCTACCAATCCGTCGAAGGAGACCATGTGGGCCACGCGTGGGTGCACAGCGGAAACGCTCCTCCACTATCGCGCGCGCCCGCCGGCGGACAAGCAATACGCTGAGGGCCACCTGCGCGCGACGCTCCGCGCGCGCGCACGGCGAAACGCTCCGAACACCAGCAGTTTTCTCCGCATGTCATCGCGGAGGTACCCAAGCGCGTACGACAGCCATAAGGTCTTGCAATAAGAGGATCCGAGAGTAAAGATCTTTGCGGGCGCGCATTTCCTCAGCATCGTCACCGGCAAGATCGTTTTCATCATCGTCAGCGGCATTGTCGTCGCCATCGTCGGCATCATCATCATCATCATCATCATCATCATCATCATCATCATCATCATCATCATCATCATCATCATCATCATCATCTTGATCATGATCAGCATCAGCATCATCATCAGCATCATCACCGCCATGATCATCATCAGCATCATCATTATCATCAGCATCAGCATCAGCATCAGCATCATCATGATGATCATCACCATCATCATCAGAACTATCATTATCGTTCTCATTACTACTGTCCTTACCACCATCACCAGCATCACCATCACCACCACAGACGTCGTCATCATCACCGCCGCCGTCATCATCGTCATCGTCGATGCCGTCGTATTCGTCAAATGCCTGCGCGCGCACTTCCTTATCATCCTCACCACCATCATCGTCATCATGATCGCCAGCGTTATCATTGCCACCGTCATTATCATCACCATCAGCTTCGACACCATGGTCGTCGTCGACATCGTCCCCACAGTCATCACGAGCATCGTCCTCGTTGCCACCGCAATGCTGATTTTGACCATAAGTTGCTGTAGGGCGGGTGTGCACGGGCATCGGAAGTGGTCACGCGCCGATGTTCAATTGCATTATATAGTTGCACCACATGTTTTATTTAATCGCTTCGCTCATGCCGCCGGCCCTGGAGCCCTCTTTAGGGCCTCTTGGGGGCCTCTTGGGGACCTCTTGGGAGTCTCTTGGGGCTCCTTGGCGGCGTTTTGGAGGCCCCCAGGGCCTCTTGGGGGGCTCTTGGGGGTAGTCGATTGCGGCTCCCCCCTCGGAGGCCACGATCCTCGTGAGGGGTGTCGAAAAATACCCTCCCCTGGAGTGGTCTGGTGGCTTCTCCCGGGCTTCTCTCGGGACCTTGCCGGGGTACTTTTCGTCCGGGGGCCCCCAGGGGCCGCTCCGCGCGCGCGAACTAGAAATATTGTTAACAAGTTACCGGAGATCTTAGCACGCCTCTGGCCCGTTGGGCCGGCGAATATAACATCGGTTGCACTGGAAAGCAGCCGCCCGCCGTCAATCCGCGTAACATTTGCACATCTTCAATGCATGGTCAGCATACGTGTGGTAATCTCCGTCTAGGGCAACTAGAACGGATATGTCCCCCCAATTCGTATCAAGTATCTGAAAGGTGCACGTCGGCTCTGCACGCTGCCCAGAGGAGTGATACTGACTGAAGCCACAATTCGGAAACGGCCCGCCCTCAATCCGTGCGATTGGCGGGGGAACTGTTGGACCATTGTGCGCGGCGCGAACGTGACGTCAATGTACCGAAAACGATCCGCCCTCCATCCGTGCAGCTGCTGGATATTTCGAATCCAATGGTCATAGGCGAACGGGACGCTTCAAGCATGATACACGGGCTGCCCTACCGACACGTCGGGTGATACAACCACGTCGAGTCGCGTAAAAGACGAGTGGCATTGGAGGAGGACGCGAAGCAGGAACCACAGATGGTGAGGGTGTTGGGGGGACGAGGGGGAGCGGGTAGAGAAGGGAGAGGAGGAGGAGGAGGAGGAGGAGGAGGAGGAGGAGGAGGAGAAGGAGAGAGAAGGTAAGGAGGAGTAGGCGGGTGGGCAAGGGGACGGGGAAGGGGACGGGTAAGAAGTGATTGAGGATGCGGGATACGGAATGGGGCAGGAGGAGCAAATGGAGGAGGAGAAGGGCATCTTGGGTGTCGTTTGGACGAACCGCTGCCGCTGTTGACGACTCGACGTCGAAATGCCTGTCAGCAATCAGCAGGCGAGGAGGGAGTGGGACAAGAAGGACATTCTTCCTCATCCTCATCTTTCTGCACGTTCGGATTCGCCTCCAACGCGCTTAACCTTAACCTCCGCCTCCTCCTCCTCCTCCTCCTCATCCTCCTCATCCTCCTCATCCTCCTCATCCTCCTCCTCCTCCTCCTCGTCCCACTCGTCCTCCTCATCTTCTCCCTCCCCCAATCATCCTCCCTCATCCTCGCTCCTCCCTCCTCCCCTCTCCCTTTACCCTCCCCCCCATCGCACCCCGCGCGCGAGGGAGGGCCTCGGCCGGGACGTCTGGGGCGCTCCACGCGACGCGAAAATTCGGGCCCGACCCAGCGGCAAGAAGCCCTTGTTCTGAGCGGCTTGACAGCGCCCGAGGGCGCCCACGCGCGGACAGTGGCGCGCGGGTTCCCGGCGGCGCCGGCGGGGGCGCGGGGAAGGTGGGCGCGGCATTGCAAGAGGAGGAGGTGCAGGATGAGGAGGAGGAGGAGGAGGAGGAGGAAGAGGAGGAGGAGGAGGAGGGGGAGGAGGTTAGGAGGGGGAGGAGGTTAAGGTTAAGCGCGTGGGCGAGGTGGGCGAGGGGTAGGAGGGCAAGCTAGGTGCGCTCGCGCCATATCTGACGTCCTGCCGCTCCCACCCACACGTGCATGCGTGTGTGTGTGTGTGTGTGTGCACTGCTGGTCGATGCAGCTCGTGCTTGTGCGTTGCTTGGCTCGGTCGATCTGCGTGTCGGACTGTTCTGGTGCTTCGAGTGTGTATTCGAGCCATCGCTCATTGCTCTATTGTCGTTGTGGGTCGCCTGCAGGATCGCAAAAGTTCCCAATCTCTGCGTCCGTGCCCGACGGCGACTGAACATCGCAAATTGCGACAACCGAGTATCCGCGACAGCAGTCAGATTGCGCAGCGTGCCGCAGCTATCCACATGGATCTCCCCTTGGCAACGGGGTTTCGTGGGCGGGCGCTCCATGGTCGCCAACATGGTGGACATTGAAGAGGCGATGATGCAGGCGGCTCTGGGCCGGGACGCAGGCATGGCCGTGTTTGTCGATTTCAAAGCGGCCTTCCCCGGTGTCTCGCACGCTTTATTGCAGGTGTCGCTGGGGGCGATCGGACTGCCTGAATGGGTGCTACGATCTATGACTGTGCTGTACCGCCAGAACAGATGCGTCGTGGTGGCGGGGGCGGGCAGCACCCTGGCTTAGAGCAGTTAGCTGGCATTCGACAAGGTTGCCCGTTGTCGCCACTACTGTTCTCCGCTGCCATTGACGTGTTGCTCTGGCGGATCTCACGGCTGGTGCCCGATGCCACGGTGCGCGCCTACGCGAATGACATCGCAGTTGTTTTTTCTTGCGGGCTCGTCTTCGATCCCAGTGTTAGCGCAGCCTTTCGAGAAATTCGGGCGGGCGTCGGGGCTCCGTCTGGACCATCCGAAGAGCGTATTGGTACTGGTCTTCTTGCGAAACCGAACGGAGGTGGCCAGCGACCTCCACGGCGCCTTCCCCGCGTGGGCCGAGGTGCAAGTGAACGGCCACGCGAAGTACTCGGTTTTCTTTTTGAGGCCTGGCCGCGGTCGGCGAACGTTTGATAAGGCGCTTCGCAAGTATCTTGACAGAGCGGCTGCCTGGGGCGCGGTTGGAGGTGGCTGTTTTCTGACGACGGCAGCACACTCCGTTTACATTCTGCCCGTGGCCTCGTTCCTGTTGCAGTTGGACTCGCCCCCCGACACGCGTGGGCGAAATCGAGGCAGAGGCGAGGCGCCGCTTGGCGCCTGGCCCCCGCGGTCTTGGCTTGCACCGGGCGATCTCTGTGCCTTGCGAGCGGTCGGCTTCCCCGAGGAGTTCCCAGGTGCAGAGCGCGTGTCCCTCGCGAGCCGCCTACGGGTAGCGCGCCAGGAGGCCTCGCCGCAGGGCTTGGCAGTGGCTCAGCGTGCGAGACGCCTGCGCCGATGGCTGGGAGACACGGAGCACGCGGTGCGCAGCGGCACGCGGCACCCTTGGTTCCAGAAGTCGTTTGTGCTGCAGCTGGAAGGCGCTATCGAACACTTCGCCAGAGTCGGCGTGACGCTGCGGGGCATTGAGGCGAGTTTGGCTTCAGGGGAGCAGAGGCCGTTCCGCCAGTGTACAGCGCTGCGCGCCCGCCGCGGTTTTCGGCGCTCCGCCTACGCGGCCATTCACCAGACGAGCGAGGCGGGGCTCGAAGTGCGGGCGCGCCACAGGCTGCAGCGACGCGCCGCCCCGCAATTCCCGCGGATCCGTGCGCAGCGGGGCACCCAGGTGTTGCGACGGCTTGGTCAGCTGCTGCCGCCGCGCGCCTGGTCGGCTGTGTGGCGCCCCCTATGGAACGACTGGGTCACGCACGGGCGCTGGCCAGACAGTCGCGGCAGCGTGAATCGATGTGGTTTCTGCGGGCCGGACGCGGCAGATTCAGTCGAACATTACGCGACTTGCCCGCGCAGATGGTCATTTACGCGAACACGACTGGGGCTTGCGCGGCCAGCCAGTGCGGCCGATGGTCTGTCATGTTTTCGTCGCCCAACAGAATCGAGGACGCGGCGGAGCTCCTTGTGCGAAAGGCGCTGCGCACAGCCGCTGCCTACGGAATGCATTGTCTCGTCCGTCGTGGGCGCGATTTGCTGGGAGAGGCGGCTAGTGAAGCTTTGCTTCAGTCAGTGCGCGATTTGGTGCGAGGGCACGCTGGGGCTAGCCGCGCACTGGGCGATCATTGTTGGTGTCTTACCACGGCTACGACACGCACCCTTCCTTTACAACGCCAGCGGCACTTACTTTTGCTGCGACTACTTTCCCACCGCGGCCATGCACCGCCACCAGTATGGCGATTACGATTTGCATGGCGCTTTCTGACCCTTTTACGGCACGAATCGCGGATTGATCTTGCGTCTCAGGGTGGTCGTGTTCATCACTGTTGGCGGTTGTTCTTTCATACTCGTTGCCAGTGCCGTGCCCGCCGCCCCTGGAGCCACCGCCCTCACTAGCAGTAGTACGGCCGCAACGACCAGCGCCACAGCCAGTACGCGTCAACTGCAGTTTGTTCTTCTCCAGCCTCGAGAACCCCGCAGGGGTCGCATGAAAATATCCGCCGACGCAGCGGCGACGAGCATCGCGCAAGTGACCGACGCCAGCACCAGCGCCATCTCCGACGCTTGCGCCTACGCCAGCACCAACGCCAACGCCTACGCCACCGTCGACACCAACACCGCCGGCAGCACCAACGCCAGCGCCTACGCTGGCATAAACGCCAGCACCTTCACCAGCACCAGCGCGAGCATCGACGCCAGTACCAACGCCCGCGCCTACGCCAGCACCAACGCCAGCGCATACGCCACCGTCGACGCCACTACCGTTGAAAACACCAACGCCCGCGCCTACGCCGGCATGAACGCCAGCGCCTTCACCAGCACCAGCGCCAGCATCGACGCCGGCACGAACGCCCGCGCCGACGCCGGCACCAACGCCAGCGCCTACGCCACCGTCGAAGCCAGCACCGACGACAGCACCAACGCCTGTGCCTACGCCAGAATGAACGCCAACGTCTACACCAGCACCACCGCCAGCATCGGCGCCGGCACCAACGAGCGCGCCTATGCCGGCACAAACGCCAGGGTTTATACGCCACCGTCGACGCCAGCACCGACGACAGCACCAACGCCGGCGCCTACGCCGGCATGAACACCAGCGCCTACAGCAGCACCAGCGCCAGCATCGACGCCGGCACCAACGCCCGCGCCTACGCCGGCACCAACACCACCGACGACAGCACCAACGCCGGCGCCTACGCCGGCATGAACACCAGCGCCTACAGCAGCACCAGCGCCAGCATCGACGCCGGCACCAACGCCCGCGCTTACGCCGGCACTAACGCCAGCGCCTATACGCCACTGTCATCGCCAGCACCGACGACAGCACCAACGCCGGCGCATATGCCGGCATGAACGCCAGCGTATTCGCCATCTCCAGCGCCAGCATCCACGTTGGCACCAACGCCCGCGCCTAATTACGCCGGCACCAGCGCCAGCGCCTTCGCCGGCATCCACGCTTGCGCCTGTGCCGGCACCAATGCCATCGCCTGCACCAGTACCGACACCAGCCAGCATCGTCGCCAGCACCAACGCCCGCGCGTACGCCAGCACCAACACCAGCGCCTACGCCACCGTCGTCCCCAGCGACGACAACACCAACGCCCGCGCTTATGCCGGCATGAACACCAGCGCTAACGCCACCTTCAGCGCCAGCATCGACGCCGGCACCAACGCCCGCGCCTAAGCTGGCACCAGCGCCAGCGCCTACGCCGGCATCCACGCCTGCGCCTCTGCCGGCACCAATGCCATCGCCGACACCAGTACCGACACCAGCATCGTCGCCAGCACCAATGCATGCGCCTCCGCTGGCACCAACGCCGACGCCTCCACCAGCAGGGGCGTCACCACCGACGCCAGCATCAATGCCTGTGCCTTCGCCGGCAACTGCCCCAGCGCTTACATCAGCGCCGACGCCAGCGCCGATGCACCGACGCTGGCGCCTCCGCTGGCTACAACGCCAACGCCTACAATAGCACCCACGCCAGCACTAACGCCAGCACTGATACCGGCGTTTCCGTCTGCGCCGACGCCAGCATTGTCGCCACATCAACGCCTGCGCCTACGCCAGCACCAACGCCGGCACCGACGCCAGCATCAATGCCTGCGCCTACTCTGGCACCAATGCCATCGCTTACACCGTCGCCGTTGCCAGCTCTGACGCTGGCGCCAATACATGCTCCTGCTCCAGAACAAACGCCAGCGCCTAGGCCAGTTCCGAATCCAGCACCGACGACAGCCCCAACGCCAGCGCCTGCACTAGCGCCGACGCCTGCATCAACGCTGACGCCTACGCTGGCACCAACGCCTGCGCCTGCACCAGCACCGATGCCAGCTCCGAAGCCAGCACCAACACCGGCGATTGTGCCAGCACCGACGCCATTTACGTCGCCAGCGGCAACGTTTGCGCCTACGTGGCTCCAACGCCGTCGCCGAACGTTTACGCCAGTGCCGAAGCCAGCACCAACGCCAGCGCCACCGATGGCGCCAGCGCCAGCGCCTGCACTAGCACCGTCGGCAGCACCGACGCCAGCACCAACGCGGGCGCCTACGCGGGCGCCGACGCAAGCACCGACGCCACCTACGCTGGCACCAAACACATCTCCGACGCCAGCGTCGACGCCTGTGCCTACGCCGGCACCAACGCCGTCGCCTACATTCAGTTTTCGCGAGGTCCGAAGCTAGCACCGGCGGCAGCGCTTCCGCTGGCACCAGCGCCAGCGCTTGCACCAGCACCAGGGGCATCACCGACACCAGCACCAACG